CTCAAGTATTTTTGTGAGATTAATTTTAGAGAAAATTTTTAAAAATGCCACTTTTAATGTGCAACTTTTCTAGTGCCACTTTTCAAAAATGCCATTTTAAAAAAAAAAATCATTATATCTTTTATGTTTGGGTTAAATATATTTTATTAGAGTTTAGTTTTTAGGTTTTAAGGAGTTTTAGGGGTCAAAACATTTTTTAGGATTTATAATTTTAAGATTTAGGTTTTAAAAATCCATAATTATGGCATTTTTGCAAATGGACACTCCTAAGTGGCATTCTTGCAAATATACACACAAAATGTGGCATTTTTGCAATTACCTCTTAATTTTAGTGGGTATAAGCTTTAGTAGACTAATTGCAATAGAAAATAATTTGTTTTCTCGTTTAAAAATGTGGTTAATTTTCCTAAAATTTTATTAAAATCAAGAAAATTGGGAAAACACCTAGTTACATGTACATATAGTATTAACTTATGTACTTTATTAATATTGAGTTAAAGATATCAATATCTATAGCTGTGTGTGATTGTGAAGACAACATTCATGTTGTCTTCTTAGCCGATAATTGGGCTAATAAGGGATTGACATTTTTTTTAATGAGTTTGGGCTAATTTAGTTAGAAATTAATTTTTTTAATAAATTTGGGTTAATTTAGTTAGGGATTAATAGATTAGAATGTCATGTCACATTTTTTACAATGTCATGTCACAATTAAATTGGAAAAGTGATTTTGGTGAAGACACATAAGCAAATCACTCTCCAGTTAATATACAAGGGATAATGCAACTCCGATAAATGTTTTCTTTCAATTACTCTTTCTAAAGTTTGTCATTAGAAAAGCAAATCAAGCAATAAAACCAAGATATTTTAACCAATAAAGATTAAAAGAAATGAATAACTTACTATCTTACTATATTAAAGATACAACGATGACTAATCAATCATACGTGCAATGATTGAGACCGACGTGCTTCACATTCGTTGACTCTTCCAATTAGCATTATTTCTCCACTTTCTCATCCAATTCCTCTACCTTGTATAACTTGAGTCATCACCATCTCTTGCCAGACCAAACCAAAATACAAACATGTTTCAAGAGAAATCGAAAGGTGCAAAGCTCACGCTTCTAGAACGGCCATGGTTCATCGTGGCTGCCCTAGCTGGTCTCTTAGGTGGCGCACTGCTCATCACGAGTTTCATCCGAGCTACGGACAACACTTTATCACTATGTTCCACGGCTAAGAACACGGCCGTGTCCATAGCCGAATACTCAGCCACCCCAATCCAACTCCAATCCATCGTCCACTATGCCACCTCACGCACCGTCCCTCAACAATCCTTCGAAGAGATCTCGATCTCTTTAGAAGTCCTCAAGGACCGTTTTCCTTGCAATTTCCTTGTCTTTGGCCTTGGACGCGACTCCCTCATGTGGGCCTCCCTCAATCCGCGAGGAACCACTGTGTTCCTTGAGGAAGATCCCGAATGGATCGAGGCCGTCCTCACAGACGCACCGTCCCTCAGGGCCCACCATGTTAAGTACCGGACCCAACTTTCTCAGGCCAACCGTCTTCTCTCAACCTACAAGTCCGAACCTAAGTGTTTACCGGCCAATGCTTTCCCGATCCGCTACAACGAAAAGTGTCCATTAGCGTTGACTTCACTTCCTGATGAGTTCTATGATACCGAGTGGGATCTGATCATGGTGGACGCACCAAAAGGGTACTTCCCGACCGCGCCAGGGAGGATGGCCGCGATATTCTCCGCAGCCGTCATGGCACGTAACCGGAAGAGTGTAGGCACGACGCACGTTTTCCTTCATGACGTTGACCGTAAAGTGGAGAAGGCTTACGCCAATGAGTTCCTATGTGAGAAGTACAAGGCCAAATCCGCAGGTAGGCTCTGGCACTTCGAGATACCCAACGCCGCTAACATGACCGACCAGCCAGGGGACCGGTTTTGCTAAAAATGCGCCGTTACTCGTTCGTCGTTACTTAATTAATTTAAACACCGCATAGTTCAATTCTGGGTTTAAAATCGATTTTAAATATAATTGTCCAGAGGCTTCTCATTATAATAAATAATGTATTCTATCTTTATATTACTCTTTGTTTTATTACGCCCAGTGTCTACATTTGGCTATTCAAAATATAGAAGTGTATACCAATAATGATCTCTGCATTTGTGCTAGATATTTTGGACATTGGCATAATTTTTGGTCAAACCGGAAGAGTGATTTTTATGCATGTTCCTCGATATGACAGATAAAAAAAATTAGATTGTGCTAACTAATTTTAGAATTCAAAACACCACACCCGATAACTAATAAGACTGTCACCAATATTGTATACATTTTAAGACAACATATTTTCCATTTTTTACTCCAAAATGAAGTCAAGTTTCTCTCCAACCCATTAATTTATTTTTCACTTCAAAAAAAATATTACAAGTATATTTTACTGAAACTTTACTATAATTTTTTTTACAATACATTTTATTTATAAATTAATGGATTTATCCCCACTTATTTATTATTTTAGCAAAACTTCTATAAAATTACGATATTTTTAGAACTAAACAAACATATACTACATCATATAACTAAACATCTTGAGAGTGATCATTTTAAATTTACCCACACACATAATAATCTAGCAAACCAAACTATACCCGTCCAGCCGTCCTAAACTAAATCGAACATAATTTGTATTCGTAGACCTAAACTAAGTCAAACCTAACGATATCAAACAAAAGAAGTACAATTACATAACTCTTAGTTAACATCGTTATAAAAAAAAAAAAAAAGCTCTTAGTTAACATCTAAATTAATATATACATGAGTTCCTATCAAAAATGTTTATTATTGTTTCCTTCATTTGTCATTAATATCATACAGATTTAAATCTAGTTACGTATAAGTTGTATATATATATATACAGGGCCATGCGAATCGTGTTACCAAAAAGGCAACTGCCTTAGGCCCCAACTAATTAGAAAAATTTTAGGACCCATTTTAAAGATTTTTAATACTTAAATAGATGAAAAATCTCTATTTTAATTTTATTTAGGCTAAATTTTAGGGCTCCATTTTAAAAGTTGTTTCATCTTACTTTATAATATAGGTTGTTTTTCGTTTTATCTTTTGTTTAACTTTTTTTATTCAAAATATTTTGTCGCATAATTTCTTAACCCATTT